AGACAAAATCTCTGTGTACACACACATACACACACACACACACCAAAGTAGCAAATACATGTTACCTAAACAAGAAATCCTAATCGTTTTTATTTTTATTTTTTAAATTTTTTTGGTACGTGCCCCTAGCGGAAACTGAACCCGGGACTCTCTGGTCCGCAGGCCGACACTCAACCACTGAGCCAAACCAGCCAGGGCCCTAATCATTTTTATACACACACACACACACACACACACAATCCAAGTCTCTGTAGTATTTTATTTTATTTTTTTAATCCTCACCCAAGGATATTTTTCTATTTATCTTCAGATAGAGTGGGAGGAAGAGAGAGAGAAAGAGAGAGAGAGAAACATCGATGTGAGAGGGACACATCTACTGGTTGCCTCCCGCAAGACCCCGACCAGGGCGAGGGACGAACTACAACCAAGGTAAGTGCCCTTGACCAGAATCGAACCCGCGACTCTTTGGTCCGCAGGCCAACGCTCTACCTGCTGAGCCAAACCGGGCAGGGCTCTGAAGTACTTTAAAGACTTGTGTTGAAAGTACACTGTGTTGTTAAAGAGAGTTGAAGGTAATTGCTCATGGAAGAAACATTTGTCTGGGTGGAGGTCTATGCTTGGCTTACACAGGCTTTCAGCCTGACAGCTGGTGACGAGATGACTGATTCTCTTCCCCTTCATCTGTTTTTCATGTGGTGGGATGACAGTCATCATCTAAAGTCATTTGTAAGTTTTTCAGAAGTGTGGAAAAACTAACCTAACCACACCTTTATAACCTGTTTAAAGGGCAAATTTTTACTTTTAGTTTGAAAAGAATTTTTAAAAGGACCTGCCGCTCTCTCTAAGAATGTAACTAGTTAAGGCTGTCAGAGAGATCAAAGAGCTGTTGTTTGTGGGCAGGAACTTGTTGTATCTGGTTATGATTACACCTCACAATTTGAGGACTGTGATTATTCGTTTTCTAAATGTTGAATTTTGAAAAATTGAATAAAAGGTCAAATTGAGCCCTGGCCAGTTTGGCTCAGCAGTTAGAGTGCTGGCCCGAGGTCTGAAGGGTCACGGGTTTGATTCCCATTCAAGGGCACATACCTGGGTTGCAGGTTTGATCCCCAGCTCTGGTTGGGGTCATGCGGGAGGCAACCAATTGATGGGTCTTTCTCATACTGATGTTTCTCTCTCTCTTTCTCCCTCCCTTCCACTCTCTCTAAAAAGCAATGGAAAAAATATTCTCGGGTGAGGATTAACCAAAAAAAAAAAAAAAAAAGTCAAATCGAGACTGTTTTTGTGCAACTTTTCAGTACATGTAAAAAAAAAAAATGTTTGGGGCTCAGCACTCAAAGGTTCAAGGGTGAATTAAGATGACAAGAAACCAGGACGAGGCAGCCAGGTGCTCTATGGTTGTGGAGTGGTCCTCTCTCCAAAGCCCATCCTCGGTCCTCATCAGCACCTCACAAACTGTTCAGCCAAAGCTCTCGGGAAACAGTCCCTGCCCACCAAGCAAGAGATGTGGAGTCCTTGGCCACAGCCAGCGCTGCAAGTTTACATTCAAATTTCACAGTACACTCCCTGCTCTTATGTTTGTCCTAAGACATTTATTTATACTACCTATTATGTTGAATGTATTTGATATAAATAAATATCATAGAATAATAAATAGATTGTATCATAAATAAGTATAATTGTAAATAATTATAAGGAAAATGTAAGAAATAACTATAACAATGAATAATAAATTAAGTATATTAAGTCTTAAATATAGTATTTTTTTCTTCCTATTAAAGCTGCAGCCCTCTCTAGCCCCTCCCCTACTTTCCTTTCTCTAGAGCACTCACCGAATCTGTGCAATCGAACGATTCCCCTATGTGCCTTGATTACTGTCACCTCCCCTCCACAGTGAGTGTTACTTATTTTGCTCACTGCTGCACACCAGTGCTAAGAACAAGGACTGGCACATGGTGGGTTCTGTAGATAATGTATCGAATGAATGACAAATGTTTTCAGTGCTGAGATGTTAAATGGGACCATCAGTGGCAAGTGCACCTGGTTTGGGAAGTAACATTGTGTGATGTTTAGGGAGCATCGGAGATGTAGCAGCAATGACTGCTTCCCACCTGCTTGACACCGTGAGCTACTGCTCAACTACAGAGCCCATATTGTGAGTGTACTCTGTCATGAGCCCCTACCATGAGATTTTTTTGGATTCCTGAGAAGTTAGGTCATTTGATTTTACTTGCCACTGGTGTCTTCTGATATCATGAGGCTGGTCTTCAGTGGCCTGCGTGTCCCTGCCCGTCTAGATCCTTCTCACTCCACACAGCGAAGCTCAGCCAAATCGCTTCTGTGACATTGGCCTTCGCTTAATGGGCGCAGTTCAAGGCCAGTCTTTCTCCTTTTTAGAGGGCAGCCTCTCGGGCCCAGTAGGGCCAGGGCATGGGGGTGAGCAAGGGCTCTGCTGAGGTGCCCTAAAAGGGATAACCCTAAAAGAGAAGGGGTTTAATTTAGGATAACCCTTAAACGGGATAAATTTGCTAATTCCAAAGCAAATACAGACATTTTGAAAGAAAGAACAATAGTGTAAATTAGTGTCTCTTCCACTAAACCACGAATCCCAACCATCGACTCGCTTAATCTTGTCTTTCCTGTTGGTTTTCAGGAAAACATTTACTTTCTTTCATCTACAGCAATTTCAGCCATAAAAAGCTTTATCCTTGGTCTGACCACAGCCCCTTGATAGGATGTAGTTGGGCTGTCAAAGCATATTTCTGCTATTTATTGACAGTTCTGAGCTTACTTAAAAGAGCCAACTTGTTATTCTTGGAGAGTATCCCAAGCTACCTTATTTATGTACAATTAGCAACACACTGAACATAATGAGCCTTTATACAGACCTGCCTGTACCAGGTACTCCCCTAAGCCAACTACACATATTAACTCATTATCATACAAAACAACTTTAGCATTACTTAGGAACTGCTATTATCCCTATTTCACAGATGAGGAAACTGAGGCACAGAGAGAGGAGGAGTAAGTACATACAGTTGGTAAGTTCCTCAGCCAGGATTGGGATCCAGGTCCTTCCCTACTTGTCTCACACCCATTGTCCTTTCTACCACCACCTGTCAGCCAAGCCCTGGCCCTGATCTCTCTTCTTCTGGCCAGAGAAAGAAGCTGCTGCCCATCTCTAAAGTCATCTACCAAACTGACCAAGACAAACTCCTTGCTGTTGGGATGAAACCACTCGGTGACCCTTCTCCGTTCTTTGCAAACAGTCACGGATCTGATTAGCTCACTTCTCGGCTGGTTCCTGCTGCTCCACACCCATCTCTCCAGGTGCTCAACCTTCTCACTCTGAAGTCTTAAATGGAATATTTACAAGGAGTTCAGCTGGAAAATGCCATGACCCGGTTTGGGGAAGCTGGATCTGGTGCTGGTATGTGGAAGGGCTCAGGGAGCATGTGGTTGAGGAAGTGGGTAGAAACAGCTGATTGGAACGTTTCACTTGGTAGCCATGGACATTGCAGGAGGTTTGGGAATGGAAGGGAAGGGGTGGATTCTAGAGGCATTTCACAGAGAACAGTGGATCCTACTGGTGGGCAACCGCCTCTGTGATTACTGGAGAGAAGACAGTTAAAATGATCCCGCTATTTTGGGCTCAAATGCATATAATGGGAGTGCCATGACCTGAAATAGGTATATCAGGAAGCTCATCTGATTCAGGGAGAACAAGATGTTTATTTTAGAATCCTTGTCATCATTCCGGGTCAACAGCTGGAAGACATCGTTAAGTGAGCATCTAATAAGCTCCTGCAAGGGAGCTCCTTCAAGTGTCTCGCAGGGCTTCTGGTGTTAAGTCTCCAGCAGCAATGTCAGGAGCGCGTGCTGAGAGCAAGGCTATCTTTCTGGAGGTGCCTTCCAGAGTACTGGGGGTTTGGTGCCCCACAGCCCTCACCTACAGACATGGAATTTGGCATATGACAGGAATGTAAAGAACATGGCTTACCAAGTAGCCTAGCCCCAAATGTGACTTTTCTGTGTCACACCTAAAAATCCTCAGAAAGTGACAGTGTCATTAGTTATATGGCAAACTGGTTATATACTTGGTCTCCAGACTTGATATCACTTCATACTAATTTTTTTTAAATGAAGTCAAGCAGTCTGGACCGGGCCACCCAGTCTCCTTCTCCAAAGGCCCTGAAGTGGCAGGAGCCGGCGCACTCAGGCGAGGGCAGAAAGCTTCTAGCAACAGGGCTGTAACCATGCACTCCGGTAAGAATGCAGAAAGCAAAGCTGCAAGTCAGCTTCACAGGGCCCTCCAGGCGGGGCCCAGGGGGTGCCCTCAGAGACTGACAGGTGGGCAGGCAACGCCAAGGAGGTGTTTCAAGAACCAGACGAGTCTGGTGACTCCTCTTAGGCACTGACCCCCCTACCTCGAATAGGGACACCTTCCCCGATGTCACAGAAGCTCAGGAGCGGTCACCGCGCACAGCAGAGACCATTCCAATGAACTCGTGGGGGCAAATCTCTTCCTTCAGAGTCTGACTTGGACCAGCGAAGTACGGGTCCTCAGTCCACAAGGAGTCTACAGCTCCGGGCGGGGACGGCGCCCGCGCCGGCCCGGCCGCTCGGAAGGCCCGGATCTGGAGGCCGCGGGTCGGGACGGAGTCCAGTCCGGGTTTTGCCGGCTCGGGGGCCCAGGGCTGCGAGGCGGGCGGCGGGCGGGCGCGGTGGCAGCGGCGCCCACAGCTCGCGCCCGGGCGGCCGCTGTAGGCCCGAGAGGCGCGGGCCCGGCCGCCGGCCGCATGGGGCGCAGCACGGCCCGCGGCTCCGGGGCGGTGGCGGCGGTGTTGGAGGCGGCAGCGCGCGGTTCGCTCACACCCACCCCCTTCCCGCGATAGCCCCGCCGCAGCCCCGCAGCCCGGCCCGGCGTGCACCCCAGCGGCCGCGGGAGGAGCCGCAGCAGCGGGAGCGGAGCAGAGGGGAGGGACAGCTGGGCGGCAGGCATGCAGGCGCGCCGCCTGGCCAAGCGCTCCAGCCTGGGCGGCCGCCGCGGGGGCCCCGCGCTGCACCCGCCGGGCCCGGCGCCCGAGAACGGGAGGCCGCCGCTGCCCCCGCCGCCTCCCCGGAGCGCGGGGACCGGGCCCCCTCGGGCCGCCGGGGCCGCCGCGTCGCCCGTGCTGCTGCTGCTCGGCGAGGAGGACGAGGACGAGGAGGGCGCGAGCCGGCGGCGGCGGGGGCTCGGGCGGGTGCCAGAGAAGCCCCGAGGGGGCGCGGAGGAGGACGATGACGACGACGAGGAAGACGACGAGGAGGGGGTCATCGAGGTGGTGGACGGCGACGACGACGAGGAGGACGGCGAGGAGCGCTTTCTGCCCCTCGGCCCTGGCCGCGCGGTGCCCAGGGGCTCGGCCCGGGGCGCGTTGAAGGTGCGTGCGGGCCGCGGGACTGGAGGGCCAGGGAGGGGACATGCTGGGGAGGGGACTGGGGCTGGAGAGGGTCAGGCCGAGGAGGGGACAGGGGCCGGAGGGGACGGCCCGTGGAGGGGCGGGCGGGGGGGCCGGAAGGGACGGCCCATGGAGGGGACAGGGGGCCGGGAGGGGTGTGTCAGCGCGCGGGCAGCGCGGGGGCCGGTTTCGCTCAGCCTGGCCCTGGCTCTTTTGCGCGCGGCCGCTGCCCCTTCCTCCAAACTGGGTCTCCAGAGGGTTCAGGAAAAGACCACTTGTCCCTGTGAGGTCGGAAACTTGGAGCTGGGACAAGGTAGGCGCGGGTTTGCGCCCGGTGGGGACAGGCGAGGCAGGAGGGGTGAGATATTTATTATTCTTCCCAAGGAAGCAGGACTGTCCCCCTTGTCCTGGATTTGAGGGCTAGTCTGGCTCATTGCTACCAGCAGGCAGCTTGTCTTGTCCATCTCAGCCCATCTCCATCCAAGAACAATTGTTGCCGAGTTTCCATCGCAGGCACTGGGAGGGAACCGGTGAGCCCGGTGCAGCCACAGCCAAGCCTGCGGTTTCTGCATGCATTTTGCTGGCAGCGTTGGCAGTGCCCCTGCCCTCCCCTGTTTAAAGTCGACATTGTTTAACATTTTTGGCTGCTTTCCGTCCTCAAATTTGCAAATGAGCAAAAAGGAGGAGGAAATGGGGGGGAGGGGATTGGAGGTGGGGTGGATTTGGCGTTGAAAATTAATGTGAGTTTGTGCGGGGGATTCCAGCGAAGTCCTTGCGCACTGAAGCACTGAGATCCTTTGGTTTGTGTACCTTCAGGAGATAAGGGGTTTATTATTACACAACTGACTGGCTGGGCTTCCAGGCATGCGATTGGCCAAGGCAAACCACGCTGAGGTTCATGCACAGTGTGTGTTGCTAAGAAGTTTTGAGGGCAGCAAGTGGTACGAAGGGAGGGAGTGCTTTTTCTCGACAGTGGATCTTAAAGTCAACTGCATAACTGCTTACTGGAGTTCTCAGAATATATTGGTATATCGGAAAGGAAAAATATATATAAACAAGTGAGTTTAATAGATAGAGGCTATTAAAAAATTTTTTTTTTGCAGGGGCTTGCATAAAAGCTCCTCGAAGCATGAAATTGTAGTTTCAAAGAAACATTAAACATCAGCATTTAAAACAGCCCCAGCATAGGCACAGCCACAGATTTCTTTCCTAGACCACCCTGGACGCGTGTGCTCTGGGAGTAAGAAGTTTCAGCAAATAATCATTTGGGAAGAGAGTTTTTTGACAGTTGCTTGTTGGAATCCAGACCATGACCACACTCATTACCGCGGCCTGTTGAGAAGCCTGCATTGGATGGCTATAGGACATGGCCGGGTTTGGAATGAAGTCACGTGGCATCGGTGACATTGAGGAGCAGGAGTAGTGAATCTTCAGCATTTTTGCCCAGAAACACTGAAAATAGGCCTGGTGGTTTGAACAGTGCTTGCACAATTTGTGATAGGAAAAATTTATTATAACTTATGCTCTGTGACTCAAGCAAATCCACTGTAGGGGGAAAATAATCAAAGCTATAAAAACAGAAAAACTAGGGTGTGGTGATTTACATTTATCAAAAAGATTTTTCACATCTCCTAACAAACTTCTGTGACATTCTATCAAAGTGGGTTTCATTTTATAAAGTTTTGGTTTGCCCACAGCTTCTCAGAAGTGTGTATATTGAGTAGTTTGAGGCATGTATAATTTATATAAGTTTTTCTGCTTTTCAGCCATCTTGACATTGCATCTGAAGAGATTTTCTAGTGAAACATAACAAGCCATTTTCTTATAAATGCACATAACAATGTCAACATCATATAAATGTATATGTACAGGGGTGAGCAAAAATAGGTTTGCAGTTGTTCGTATGGAAAGAGACATGCAGGTTATAACTATTACAGTGGCTTTATTAACTCTGTTTTGCATACTCACAATTGTAAACCTACTTTTCCCCACCCCTATATATCTATCTGTTGATAGATAGATATACATACTTATGCATTCGTTTATTCAAATATTTATTGAGCACCTACGATGTGCCAGGTGCTATTCTAGAACACCTTCTATTCCAGCAAGCACCTTCATAAACTCACTTCTGGTGAGAGGAGTCATAGCCACAACTAAACAAACAGATGAACAAGCCTGGGTGCTTGAGAGTGTAATACACAGTGAGAGGGGGATAGTGGTATCTCAGAGCCTAGGAGAAAGAGGAGAACACCGTTATGGGGAAGACCTCCCCGAGGAAGGGATGTTTGATCTGAGATCCTAGCCATGCAGCCTGAGAAGATATTTCCAGAAAGAAGGAATAACAGTAGCCAGTCTTGATGTGGGAAGGAAGGAAGGTGAGTGTGGTGGGACTTGGCAGGTCAGAGATCTGCCAGGGAGGCAGGTCGGGACAGTGACATGGAGTCCGGCGGAACTTTTGAAAGAGTGTGAAGACTTTGGAAAGTTTTAAGCAATAAAGGTATACAAGATGCCTTGTGTTTTGAAAAGGCCATGCTGCGTAGAGTACAGTGGACAGCAGGGAGAAGCAGAGACCAGCCCAGTGGCTTGGAGTCCACGAGAGAGGTGAGGGCAGTGTGCTCCAGGTCAGCAAGGAGTTAGGGAGGAGTGGACAGAGTCAGGGTCTTTTCAGAACTTGCTGGTGTGAGGGGGTGCAGGGAGGAAAGAGAAGCCAGGGTGAGGCCCGAGGTGAAGGTTGGTTAGATGTGCTAATTGCTTTGATTGGTAAAAATGGGAGAACAACAGATTTTGGGGAGGGGAAAGTGTCGTGTTTTGGACATGTTAATGTCTGAGGTGACGGTTAGACATCTGAGTGGAAGCTACAATTAGGCAACTGGCTGCAGGATCAGGAGCAGAACAGAGAGGTCAGAGCTGGAGAGAAATATGTGGGTGTCACCAGCATGTTGATGTCATAAGAAGTTAACTAGCGAGGGGACAAGGTAGGCCAAGAGAGAAGAGCCTGGGCTAGACCCTGCGGCTCAGCACTGCTCGGGAAGCAGGTTTGGGTGCAGGAGGAGAAGGTAGCAACCATGAACAATGGAAAACTGGGAAATGTGAAGGCCAGTCAGCCAAGAGAAGAAATAGTTCTGAAAATGGGGTGCACTGAATGGCACTGAATACTGCTGGGGCATTGAATAAGATAGGAGAGAGGCATGTTCATTCAGATTCAACAATGTGGAACTTGTTGGTGTCCTTGACAAAAGAATGTGAAGTCAGTGATGTGGCTAGTGTGGGCTGAGCAGTGATTGGAGCTGAGGACACGTATGGAAATCTCTTTTGCAAGTTTTTCTGGAAAGGAGAGCAGAGAGAAGTGGAGCATCTGGAGGGCATGTGGTCTAGGTATTATTTTGATAGGATACAGTAGATTCTAGTGCATGATGGGAATATCTGGTCGAGGGCAAACGTATTCCTTTTCTATTGTGGTGTAACACAGTACCACAGACTTTTTACTTACAACAGGCTCGGCTTCCCTGGGTCTATGCTAAGGTTCACAGGCTGCAGCCCAGGTGTTGGGTGAGCTGAGTTCTCAGCAGCTCACTCAGGTCGTCAGCAGAGTTGACTCCCTTGCATCTGTAGTTCTTAGGGTCCCAGCTGCCTTGGAGACTGCCTTCAGTTGTCCTGTGGGCTTCCAAAACACAGCCTCTTACTTCATCAGGCCAGCAAGCAAGATCCTATCACTTGTCTGCTAGTGAGCTGGAGTCTCATGTAATGCACTGTAGTCACAGGAGCAGTAAAACTATCATCTTTGCTGTTGGTTAAAAGTGAGTCCTGAGTTCCACCCACTCTTAGGGGGAGGGGATACCCAAGGCCATGAATACCAGGAGTCAAGGATCATTGGGGGTCACCTTAGGGAGGAACCAAAGATACAGAGAGAGGAGGGATAATTTCAGGATGACAGTCATTGCAAAGACATAGGGAAGGGGATGTGGACCCCAAGGAGAGGGGTTGGCCTTTGATGGAAGCAAGAGCCCCTTGCTCATTGAATTTGAGAGAAGGTGGAGACAGTGAGCCCAGGTATGGATAGTTATATATCATATGATGGTCAGATGGAGTGGAGCTGGTCCAATGGCCTCTGTTTCCCCCATGCAGCAGGAGCGAAGGTCGTCGTTGAGGGTGAAGGAGATCTGAAGTAGAGCCAAAGGCACGACATAGTGTGTGGGGGTGACAGTGGCGAGCAGACAAACTAGAGAGATAAACAGAGTTGCCAGACTGTATCAAGGACCCATCTGGTGTTTGTGGTTCCGGGTATGTGATTTTCCCAACTTCCTTCCACTGGCCCATGCATGCAGTAATAATAATAAAGAGAATCCTAGTGAACAGTTACTGAGAGTCTGCTATGGTCAGTTCAAGTCTAAGTGTATAGTTTCATTTAAACTTGATTACATACCCATGAGTCATCTGGCATCATTATCCTCATCCTTATTTTACAGAAGCGACAAGCAGGTCACTTAAAGATACACGAGTGTTGAGTGGCGGAGCAGGGGTTGAGTCCTGGGAAGCCTAGTTCTAGAGCTCACACTTATGCCTGACACTCCACTGTCTCTTGTACACAAAGCAGACAGCTGGGTTCAGCAGAAATGGGGGTTAGCAGTTAGAAAAGGTGTGTGAGCAGTGGAAAGAAAGAGGAACATATTGAAGGAGGTGGTCCAGCTGTGACTATAACAATAGACATTGGAATCTAAGAAAAGCGAGGACAGGATGGGGTAAGGGATGGTGACAAAGTCATGGATCAGTGAATCAGAGAAAACAAAGGAGTCAAGCAATAAAAGCCATAAAAGAGTGGATATGAAATGCAGGACAGTTTGGGTTCCAAGGTAACGTTATTGCAAATGAATGTTTGCTGATAACTTATGAGGCAGGATCTGTACTAAGTGGCTGAGTACATGAAGTAGGATCGCATGGGACGGCATGACTTGGGAATCTATATGGCCCATTCTCCAGCA